CAGTAAATGAAGGGTACCTCTCACCACGCGCCTCCCCCCCCCCCCCCCCCCAAAAAAAACACGTCATCGCTAACAAACCCCCCACAGGTAACACCTTCTCCTGCTTCGGCTCCATGTACCTCTTCTGGTACCTAATGCGCTGGATGATCTCCCCCAGCCCAGAAACCTACAACTCAATCCCCGAATGGTTCCGCCCCACGCCCAACCAACTCTTCATGCCGCACATCAACATCGTCGACTTCATCGTCTGGCCCGCCTTCCGCGAACTCGTTACCCAGATCCCGGCTATGCAGGAGCGCATGGAGTGGCTCATGGATATGAGTTTGAACATCCAGTGCGACTGGAGCTTTGCGACGGACCAGGCGCTGTGTAGTAATGAAGAGACGGGCCAGGTGGATCTGTGCGATGCGGCGAGGGATGTGGTCAGGGAATTGGCGAGTTGGAGTCTGGGACCGAGTTTTAGGGGGTATGTTAGTAATGCGGATAGTTATGTGAGGATTAGGACGGAAGGGTATTGATGGAATGTGGTGGTGTTGGACGGGAAGATCGAGAGAGATCGACACGAATTACGTTATGCAGAAGGGTTGCGACGGTAGGACGAATTGGCTCTGATCGCTAAGTACGGCACGCTGCGGGGCAGTTTTTTTTTTCGCGATCGGGTGTGCCGCGGAGATGTCCGCGGAGATGAAATGTTGTAGTGGGACGGGCCGGAACCTTGGCAACCCGAAGGGCGAATGTGGGCGGACCACTTGTTGTTGTTACTAGCGAAGCATATTACACGGAGTTGCTTTTAGTTCAGTGGTCTTGTTGAATGAGAAGCTTATGGGGCGACCCGGCGACGATATACGGAGTACGATAGACGAAGAATTGAGGAATTGGAGTGCCACTCTGCTCTTTGTTTGGTGGTTTTGGTGTGGTCGGATGTGCGGCGTCCCTTGCGCTATATGCTGTGTCATGTATTCCGTGCTAAATGTCAGGGCAGCTCACGTGAGCATGGAGGTGTATGACGTGCTCACTGACACGATATTGTTACCCAGGAACTCACTCGTACATCATCGCAACGCTCGAGTTCCAAATGAGTGTAATGTATTGAGCATACCAGTATTCGTAACCATCGTGTCGCGTTCAGCGTCATGAAAACGTATCCATCGTGCGCGAATGCGTGCGTGTAGCACCATGAGCTCGTGTCGTGTCGTGAAAGTAAGGAAAAAGAAGAACAAGAAAGACAAGGCGCTTTTCCTCCACCGACCATTACCACTGCCATGAAGCATAATTCATCGCTGTCCATTACCACACTAACCTCTGACCATTACCATCATGCTCATACTCATCGTATCAACCGTTTGGAAAACACACTGGGATGCCACAGGCGGCAAAACCCTGTACACAACTCTCTTCCAGTATCTCTTACACAAACCCAGCATTATAGTCGTATCGTGATCATCGTATCATCAGCGTGGTACAACATCTCGGGGCCTCAGACGACCCAGGGGATAAGACCGTCGCGGTGGTACTTGATGCGGAGGTCCTATAGAGGTCAGTACATATCTCACATTCTTTTCGTACGATTAAGACTTACCTTGTCCATCAACATGTCCTTGACGGCGTTGATCTGCTGCATGTCGAGCGTTGCGAGCTCCTTCTGAGCTGGCGCAACCATGTCCGGGTGGGTTCTACTAGCGACCTTGCGGTAGGCGAGGTTGATACCGATGGAGCTGATCCTCCAGTTCTGGATACCAAGCATGTTGTAGGCAAGCATGTTGACCGGGGGGAGAAGATTGGCTAAGGAAGAAGCACGATCACGGCGAGGACGAAGAGCGCGCGCGGACAGCGGAGGAGGTGGGCCGACCGAGGCGGTGGGACCGAGGGGCGTGGAAGGAGGACCAAGTGGGGTCGAAGGAGGAGTCTCAGTCCAAGGCTCATAGTTCTCGGTATTCTCCCAGAGAGGGTCGGCAGGCGAGAAGCGGAACGGGGTGTCGGGAAGACGGGGAGACGGCGAGGGCGTTGAAGCAGTAGAGAAAGTCCTGTCGCCGAGCGGAGTGCGTAAGCTGTTGGTCTTGGACCGCTTGGGTGTCTGAATGGGCCTCGGGACGTCGTTGGCTGCCTCGGTGTCGACGAAGATGGTGAAATCAGGCTTGCGCTTCTTGCTTGGCTTTGTACTCGACTTCTTGGCAACGGGTGCGGAAAGGACAGTGGGTCGAACCGTGAAAGGTGAACGAAGTGCGGAGACTTGAGAACGAGTACGAGGTAGCGGAGGCGCGAGGTTGCCGTTTTTGATGGGGTCTTGACCCTCGATAGAAGGAAGCGGTGTTGCCGCCGCGATCGCGAAGAAATAGTTGTTGACAGAGTCCGACATCTTGACAAGCTCACTGTAGAGCTATAAACCACTGAAGCTCCCACCAAAGCAAAACGCTGAACGCTAAACAGAACAGAACAGTAAAGAAAAGAGGGACTTACCTAGAGAACGTAGAACAGAACGGTTGACTCGTCGTCTCCGGAACAGAAGCGAAGGAGTGGCCGAAGAAAGGGAAGACGACTACGGGAACAGCGGCCTTTATAAAGAATGACAAGAAGATGAACGAATACTTCAAAGCTGAATGAGAGTCGTAAGAAGAGAGGATAATCGGAGGTGACCGCGAAGACGAATTTGAACAGGTAGGGTGGGCGCTCGGGCACCGGACCCGAGCTACCGTGGTGAAGCCGACAAGACGCTTACAGAAGCTCACAACGCGTAAAAACGCGTAAGAGGCGCGTCTCCGATGTTTCAAAAGCGTTTGTATATCCCTTAAACGGACTTCAGCGCGTCAGAAACAGACGCAGATGACGTACTGATAATCTTGATGGGCTGGATATTGTCTTGATCAGGGAGGGGTCGACAGGTTTGGATGACTCAACGGGTCAGCCGTGACCGTGATTGTGAGGAAGTGATCTCTTTCTTTGCGGCACAAGGGTCTCCCGATCAGTTCAAACGTGGTCTCGGGTACATTCCAGGTGTATAGTACGCCCTTAGGACATGCTACGAAAAGTGAAAGGAAGCTATCTGGCAGTCATTCCTCGACGACCGCTTTGTAATGATTGAGACATCCAGTATGAGTACCGGCTCGAACACGGTTCCTTGTCGAAGTAGATGTAGTGATGTTATTATTGGAATAGTCGTGATTGGCTCGCCATGTGTGGCTAGCGGCGAAGCAGAGGATAGCTACCAGGGTATGAGATTGCGAACAGTAGGCGCACTCGACGGCTTGTTAAATATACGCAACGAGATTCCTGGCGAGAGTGTCCATAGCTCGGAGTCGGTCAGAGTTGGGTATACGGTATACCAGATGAAGTTCGATGTGTGATCTCCGGAAGTTCGATGTAGAGTCGGCAGATCTGACTGCAGGTACGATGTCAGGAAGGCGATAGTTCAGCAGTACTAAAGGTATCAAGTCTGCGGAGACGAGACTCGAGAATAAGTCCATGAAGACGAATCAGTATAGCGTGAAAGCCTACGTTGGGCGTTAGTTGTGTTTAGCTCTTGTGGATGCAGGCTTGAGAAAGCATGACCGAAAGGCTACAACCCCCGAGAATCAGAGAGAAGATGTATGGAAAGGTTGATAATGCGCAGTGATCGGTAGATGGGGGGATTATGGTAGATAAAGGTCGTAGCCGGTAGTCAGGTGCTTGGTCGTCTCTTACCATGACCTGTATCCTGGTTGACGTCAAGGATCGATGGCTTACTGCGACAGATGTTTTTGCCCGGCAAACGCCTGTGAAGTTCGTACATAATAGCAACAGTGACAAGTGGCGATGGTCGGGCCTCGCATGTCACATCAAGCGTACCTTATGAAACCACCCAGTGGATCCAGAGTAATAAAGAAAGATGCGTGTTGAGGCCGCTGTGTGTGGATTGAGTCCTGAAGTTGTTTACGAAGTACTGTTATCGACGTTTGAAGATAGACCTGAAGAAGGCGGCATGACATGTCATGGAGTAAAGTCAGCAAACGATCGTCAGTTGATATGCCTCACACGCAGAAGCTCAGTCGCGGTGAGGCAAGCTTTCCAAAAGCCTGGTGACCTTCTGTCAAGGTCTGTAAAGTAAGAGATGTGTCAGTCGGTAAGTAAACAGACCCACGTATACGGAGAAGCTGCTTTTCGTGATGCATCGTCAAACCTAGTCCGGAGATGTTCGCAGAAGCACCTGACGATAGGAGATCGATCTAAGGGGTTTGTGTACCTCCAGGCTACGGTGTGGTCTTGCAAACAACTCATTGGAGCCCAACCATCTCCATGTTGTGGGTGATGTACGCGAGAGGCGTACGAAGGAAGGAGCGCAATTCGTGTCGTTTCTTCGCCGTGATGACTAGATGAATCCACTTGTGAATGTCGATGCGCATCAGCGGCGGAAGTGAAAAGAAGGTTGTTGTTGTGTTGTTGGAAGGCGCGTTGGAGATCGGACGAGAGCATCGGTACTTCGGCACTTCGGCCCGACCAGGTGGCAGTCGCGATGAAACATCGCAACATCACGCCCTGACGATGTCACAACACCACTCGGGATACGTATCTCAGTCGATACTTACGATATCATCCATCGTTCCGTTAATCTCAATTGATGCTCTACTAATCCAGTGCACTAACATTGTAGCTTCCGCATTAGGACGTGCCGCGGCTGCTGATGCGGGGAACAAGCTACTCGCTGCTGAGCCGCTGAGCTCGAGTAAGCGTCAATGAGGCATTACGCGTCCAGAATCCATCAACTCAATCTTTCCACTGGATCTAGGCCATCCGTCAACTCTGTTGGAATAGCACACACGCAAACATGACTCTTGCTCCAGCTCCAACGCGTCTACGCCAGATTGCACTTGTCGCGAAGGATATCGAACGCGTTAAGCAGCAGCTTGTAGGCCGTCGATGTCAAGGCAGACATACCGAACACTGACGGAGATGCTAGACATACGTTCTAGGCACAGAAGTTGTCTTCGAGGATCCAGCGGTTGAGCAATGGGGGTTGAAGAACTTCCTCAGTACGTTCATCGTCTCTTCCTAGCTTCAGCGACTAACATGACTGCAGTACCAATCGGCGGCGACTTTATCGAGGTGGTCTCGCCCATTAAGCCAGGGACGACTGCCGGACGGCTGATCGAGAAACGCGGTGACGGCGGATACATGATCATCATGCAGACCGAGGACGCTAAGAAGCGACGCGAATACATCGAAGCGAAGGGACTGTCGAGAGTCATCTTCGAGCATAGTTACGCGGATTCGGTGTGCATTCAGTACCATCCAAAGGGCATCAAAGGTACGCTAGACACCTACCAATTGCAAGGGTATACGGCTAACGAGGTGACAGGCGGCATGATGCCAGAACTCGATTCCCACGTACCAGGTCCGAAGAATCCTACGCCAATTCAGACCCGCTTCTCCCCATGGCACGCCTGCGGTTCAAACATCGACCGCTATAGGGCCGGCATGGAGCGGACCGAACACCTTACGCTAGAGGGCTGTGTACTGCGCCTGCAGCCCGACGATCTTGGCCACGAAGCGGCCGCACGGGAGTGGGAAGCGATATTTGGCGTCGTGCGAAGCCGCGACCTGCTGGCTTTCACGAACGCCAGGCTGGGCTTCATACCAGGGAGACAA